TCCTCCAGTAAGTACCTCTTACCTCAAAACTGATCTTTAAACTCCATTGATTTCTTGATTCTTTTCTTGTCCCCACTCTTTTTCTTCCTAGAGGCCATTCAACACTTAATATGGCTCATATTATTAAATAAATATGTTAATTTATCTCAAGATTCATGCATTTTTTTTTTATTGCTTTGTGAGGAGTGTTTTTCCAGTATTTCATGTGTGTGTTTTGTTTGCACATTAAACTTGCAGGTTCCTTTATGGCAGAGGTTTGTTCTTGTAGCAGCGGCGGGTTTAATGCACTTTACTCAGCACACACTCAGTAAGTTGGAATTGGCTGGCTGACAGGTTTTTAAGATGAATTGTGAAGCATTTAGCAGTGTTTAAAATACTTTGCAACCCTCTCCATTCTTTCATATATATTGATTATTTCCTAAAGAACATACCACTGTAGTAGTAAATAGTTTTTTAGCCTAATGACCTGTATCAGCATTCTGCCTACTAGGTTCCCAAATTTAAACCCATAGTCATTCTCCTTTTCTTTTATCCTTTTGAGTATTTTTTACAGGGTCTCCTCTGGCCCTTTACTGTCTTCCAGACTGAAGTTGGCATGTATATAACTTCTGTAAGAAGGTACACTGGCTGGACGCCTTTTGTGTCCTGCCTCGCAAGCTTGCAGTTCATCTTTCCAGCTGCTGACCATCTGCTCAGGTGTAACCTGGGGAACCAGGGAACTATGCATCTTCCACTCTCTGCCCTGAGGTTTTGCTGCTGCCACCTGAACAAGCACAAACTTGAACTTGTAGGCAGAGTGAACCTCTGCAAGGCAACCCTTAGCTGAGGGGTCCAGTTCTGAGGTACGGTCCACATGACTCCTCTGAGGGTCCCTAGCGGAAGCAAGCCCATTGCTGAATGAATTAAAAAAGACAAGGAGAGAGGCAATCAAACAATTATTAAGAGGAGCACATTACATAAAGCTTCATATACAGTTTTGTATGTGAAGTACATAATTTGCTCTTTTGGCATATAAATGATTTGGGTTTAAGCTGTTTGCTTTCCTAAAATAATGGCATCGATGATAATTAAAGAGGAAATGTAGTATAGTACCATTTGCCAGTGGAAAATGACTCTTAGGCTCTATCTGGAATCATGAAAGCAAGTTCAGATTGCAGGCAAATAATTATGAACTGTCAGAAGATTTTCTCCAAAGGCTATCTCAAAGTACCTGAATCTTGGATATAGTCAAGATATTAAACTTCTTTGGTGCAAAGCACTGAAACATACCGGGCAAACTCAAGGTTGTATAAAATATAGTTCTTATGTCAGCCAAACTGGGGAACTAAAATACTTACCCCTATACAAATACCTTTATAAAAACTTGAAAGACTTTTGGCTGCTATTAGGTGTGTTCCCTAAGAGAATTTATAGCATTTGAGCCAAACTTTGAAGGATGTGAAGGACTGGCCAAAACCAGTAAGTTGTCTACTTTCACTCAAAGTTATGCTGAACAAACAGAATGGTAACAGCATAAATTGCTCGGAAAAGTATAAAGTACCACACAAATGCAAGATACTGATAATGATAACAATATTACTGTTTCTGAAATGGTTGATTATAAGAACCTGCAATTTAGGATTTAAACTTCCAGTAGTACTTCTCATTGATTAAAGAATAGATAATTAAGTTTTAATTTCATTTTTCACTTTTTTAAAATTCCAGTGAAAATTTAAATTTAATTTTTCTTTGTATTATCTAGTACTTGTGGAATAATTATAATCTCAGTTAATAAGACGACAGCCTGGTTTTGTATTAAGGTATATTGACATATTAGTTTCAGGTATACAACATAATGATTTGGTATTTGTATGTATTATGAAATGATTACCACAATAAGCCTAATTAACATCTGCCACCACACATAGTTACCATTTCTTTTCTTGTGATAAGAATCTTTGAGACCTGTTCTTTTAGCAACTTTCAAATATACAATACAGTATTCTCAACTGTAGCCACCATGCAAAGCATGATATCCCCAAGACTTATTTATTTACAACTGGAAGTTTGTACCTTTTGACCACCTTCATCTGTTTTGTCCACCCTCACCCCACCAATCTGTTTTCAGCATCTCTGAGTTCAGGTTTATTTTGTTTTGTTTTAGATTGCATATATAAGTAAGATCATATGGTATTTGTATGACAGCCTTTTTTTTTAACAAAGGTTCATACTTTAACATAAGGTTTTAACTGCCATTTGAATACATTTAGAGTATCACCTCAGTATAAAGGTGATTTCTTGAAATATCTTGACAGAATCTAGTATTTTGCTAGAGTTGCTTTCTTTCTGTTCCTCTTGAGAATCTTTCCCAACAAAAAGAACTCTATACATGATATTATACTGTTTTAGAAATGAAATGCCGGGGCACCTGGGTGGCTCAGTTGGTTAAGCATCCGACTCTTGGTTTCAAGTCATGATCTCAGGGTTGTGAGATGGAGCCCGTGTCTAGCTCCACACTTAGCGCAAAGCCTGCTTGTCCCTCTCCCTCTGCTCTTCACCCTGCTCTCTCTCTCTCCCTAACATAAGTAAATAAAATCTTTTTAAAAAATGAAATGCTAAAATATAACTCCAACATAGTAAAAAAATATATACTCTGTTCAAAGACCTATATCATGATTTTAATTAAAAAAGTAAATCGGTAGACACAATTGGAAGGAAATGTGTATGCTTTAAATAATAGAGAGTATACCAATATTTGTAAAATGTACATTTTAAATTACTTCTGGTACCTCATAGATTATCTCCAAGGAAAAAAATTACAGATAGATGTTAAACTGAATAGCAAGGTAGTATGAGTCTAAAAATAGTTATTCAGCAGTGTGTCTCTTCGTTTTCCAGTATCAGGAGAAAATTGTTATTAAATTCTAGAATTAAATATGCTGTGCTAATGTGCTGAGTCCATTTACATTTTATGGAATAATTTTATTTGTTCTGCACTAACTGGCTGGCAGAGAAATTGAACAATGTTTGGTGATATTTTAAAATTGTAATTCCATCTGACTTATGGAATCTAAATGTATATCTGGAAATAAAAAGTGTTGTGTGCTGTATTTGGCAACTCTGAGAACTGATCTATAACTTTTCCTCACCATTTCCCAGTAGACTTTTCCTAGGAAGTCAGTTGTCATTGTTTTGGCGAGCTTCTCTTTATCTTAAATTGTGCTGACATTTAAAAGGAAAACTATGAAGGTTACAAAAAAAATTTTAAAGATAATTCTTAAAAATTACAATAGTAAGAGCACTGAAACAATACAGAAATGTGGAGAGTAAAAAGTGAGTATGTTGTGCAATTGGAACATAGCCCTCAATATCTTCTCCCACACGTATGATATTACAGAATACAACATACACACATATGTATGCTTTCCATAAAAAGAATGAACTGTCACTGGTATTCTGTGACTTTGTTTTTTAACCTTAACAGTAATACCATGACGTTCTTCCTTGTTGGTACATATAGATCTATCTCATTTTTTCCCAAAGGTTATAGAGCATACTGTTTGATAAATGAAAAAAAAAAAAAAAACCTACAACAAACCCCTGTTGATGAGACTGTACCGTATATATGTCTGTGCATGTGTTTAACTCAAACTTGTCTTAAATTATGCAATTAATAGCTGTACAGGAATTTTTAAAAATATATTAAACTATGTGGATGGGTCTTCTAGGCACATCTCAGAGACAGTCCTTTTTCACAGTTTCTTTTATTTACATTTTCAAGTCGTTGTGAGTATAATTTTAAACAATATACGTATGCCTTTATTTTATCAACTTTAAACCCTATGCGTATGATGCAGGACTGGTCTGCAAGGAGATGCCAAACTCTTGGCGTTCCTAAGAGAGATGTTTTAAGAATTTCAGAATTCCCCTGATTCACACATGCCTCTCTGTCACTTAATTTCTCTCTTAAAGTTCTGTTTAACTTTCAACTGTGATTCTCAACTGGGAGGGAGAAGAGTATGTTTTCTCCCAGCCCACCAGCAGAGCCTATCAGAATCTTTGGGGAGGTCTTTTTCAAAGTACACATGCCTTCTTCCTACCTCAGATAGAAGCATGCTTACCTGGTTGAAAAATCACTGCATGTAATTTCAGAGCTTATTAGTTAGGAGTGCTTTGGGCGGATTGTGTAGCAGAGAAAAAACAAGTTAAGAATTATATATATATGTAAGATATATATATATAAAAGGCCAAGACATTGGTGAACAGTTCTTTTTTCAGGTTAAGGGGCAACATTGTCTTAGATCTCTTCATTCTCTGTTTATCCCATTATTCCATTATCAGCCCCAACAGAGGACTCTCCTTTCTATTCACTTCACAAGAGTTCCCGTGGAAGCATTAATGAGCACAGAACATCAAAGCAAAGATGTGGATGCCATAACTTAGGTGGGCTCACTGCTGGGATGAGTGACTAGCTTCTGCATTCTAGACAAGGGCAAGTCAGATTTATATCCAGTAAAATTACCATCATGGGGCCTTCAGAGTTCAGTGGAATAGTTGAAACGCTGAATATTAACTCTTTCTATGCCAAACCAAATCCCCCATCATCTTTCATACCTTTAAACCTGGTAGAAAATTCCTACAGGGGGGCGCCTGGGTGGCTCAGTCATTAAGTGTCTGCCTTCGGCTCAGGTCATGGTCCCAGGGTCCTGGGATCGAGCCCCGCATCAGGCTCCCTGCTCCGCGGGAAGCCTGCTTCTCCCTCTCCCACTCCCCCTGCTTGTGTTCTCTCTCTCTCTGTGTCTCTCTCTGTCAAATTAATAAAATAAATAAAATCTTAAAAAAAAAAGAAAATTCCTACAGGTCTGTGAGTCTCTCTATTTGAAGATTCATCATACTTGGTAGAGTGGAATCCAATAATGATGATGACAAGGATATTCTTGTCTAAAGGGTTGGTTTCGTGGGGAAGTGAAAAGCCTAAGATGAGAAATACTAATGGGGTTCTCTACCTGTTTTAACTGCAGACTGCAGCTGAATATGTAAAATCGAGACTCCCAGAGGCCCTTAAACAGCATCTTCAGGACTACGAGAAGGACAAAGAAAATAGTGTTCTGTCTTACCAGACCATCCTTGAACAGCAGATTCTGTCAATTGACCGAGAAATGCTAGAAAAATTGACTGTATCCTATGATGAAGCAGGTATGTTTGTCTTTAACACACACACACACACACACACACACACACACACACACACAGACTTTTGCTCCCACAGAAATGTCTTTATAGACTTTGGTCAAATTTAAGCCCTTTTCTGAGGTAGAAGATGAAGGGCAGGCTGGATTCAAAGTTATATAACATGGATTAACAGTAAGTTTCTTCTCTGCAGTTTTAGTATCAAAAATTTCATCAAGAGACTTCTAAAAATGGCTCTTAAATCAAATCCCTTTAAAATTTTTGCTCTTTTTTTTTAATGGAATTTTTCTGGCCTTTTATGAACCACATACTCTTATTGATTTAATCTTTGAAAGTGTCACTTCAGTTTTAGATACCAACTAAAAACTTTTACATCCAATAATCCCAGGATTGTTACTTGCTTCAAGTATTATTTTTTAATTTCAGAGATTTTCTTTTCTGAAGAGGTACCATTTTTTTTCCTTGAAGTTTCAAGGCTTGACTTTCTTTTCCTTTAGCTCCTCAGATAAATTCTCATCCTTAATACCCCTCTGGTGACTTTGGCTCACTCCCTGCCATAAATTCATCCCATCTAAGGGAGTTTCTTAATCAAGGCATGGGCAGACCTCCTTATAACACCATTTTAATCTATTACAAGGTCTGTCAGCTAAAACCCAATTTTAGTGAAACCAGTACAGTATTACTTGGAATTTAAAAATCTTTAATAAAATTAAACTTAAGAGAAATAGTCTGATTAAAATTGTCATTACTTACCCCTTCCTCCTCCCAAATGGAGGAAAATATAGGAAAATAGGCTGCTAATGGTCAAACGTTGGTAATATTAATCCTCATTTTAATACCAAGAACTTCTGTCTTTAGTTTCACAAAGAAGTTAGTTTGCATTTTATTTTCTTCCTCCTGATCTCAGCATTCTCTGTGCTGACATTCTTAACATTTGATTTCAAGCTTGAAGAGCAAACAGAAGAGCAGATTTAAAAAGCAGACATCACGCTACATATGCCTAACCACTATAGCAATTTTCTAGTTACTGATCTGCTCCCATTTACATTCCACCCTCCAAGCCCTTTACATCCCTGTCAGACAGGATCCACACTTTTAGCCCAAGGCATCTCTACTCCTTATTCTCCTTTGCTTATTAATTTTCCAGACACATTGGCTTTCTTCTGCCTGTTAGGGGGCTAGTTATTTGATCTCTGTATTTGTCTTGTTTTTAACATTCTTTTCTTTGGAATTCACATTTATCTCCTCTCTCATCCCTAATGAAATAAAGTAAGGCTGTGATCAACCCAATCAAAATAATATAAATATTCGTAGAATCTTAGAGATCATAGATCTCATGTAGTCCACCCACTTCATGTTCCCACAACCATTTTATGTTGAGAAAACCGGGACCCATAGACTTGCCTGAAATCACACACTTAGATGTAGAGCTGGGACTCCAGCCTCCTACTGACTAATCCAGCTGGACTTTCCCCACACTCATGCAGGTTCTCATTCCCTCAGAAGGCATTTGTTAATCCTAGGCAGTTGGGAGACACGGGGAAGAGTGTTGAAAAGGTAGGGAGGAATCTGAGATGTAGAAAACATAGATCTTGCTTAAAGTCTAGCTGGGGAGCTCACACATCTGTGTACGGCTTCTGGAGAAAAATTCCTGAGGAATTGGGGAATAGGAACACTCTGTAATAGCTACACGCTATCAGAGTTGAGCTGAAGGATGTGGAGTAAAGGAATAGTGAAAGTGGCTCGGATTTTTAATGGAATTCTTTTGGGGCCAGCATTCATTTAAACCATGAAGGACAAATGATGAACATGGTTTTATGAAGAGAAGAGAGACACAGTCTGTGTGGATGAAGGGGCCCAAGTGGAGACCAAGGTGGCAATGAACATCAGGCTCAACCTCCTCCCACTCAATTTTAACTTCTTTGGGAATAATTTTTCACTCACCTGCACTGTTGTTAAGCAGCTACTAATCTGCTGAGGTACCCCTGTATGTGGACTTTAGGGTCAAATACTTTGGCATGGAAGTTATCAGTAAAGCCTGCGGTGTGAAGCAGTGGAAAGAATACAGGATTGGGAGCCAGAGATCTAAATTGGGGGACTTTCCCTCTACCTTAATATTGGTATGATCTTTAGCAAATTAATCTGTTAGAGCCTCTGTTTCTGCATCTGTGAAGTTGGGCTAGTAATATCTCACAGGGTTACTATAATAAAACATAGCATGTTTGGGGAAGTCCTTAGAAATCATATTGCAAATGCTACTAATGTTGAATGAGAACAGATTTGGATCTTGTCTGTCTCTCAGACCAGTTTAAAATACTCTTAAGAGCGTTTTCTTGGCATATAATGTTCGTGAAGGCAGAGGGAAGTCTTTAAAAAATGAAATTTTGAAAAATGATCTTCAGAAGCTTTGAGAAGTCAAGCAACATCTATTTGTTAAATCACCTACTCTGGGCTCAGTTTGCCCGTGGTCATTCCTGCATGAGGTGACACATTTTATGGGGGCTGAGTATATGTATATGAATAAATGAGTGTCACTGTGTGTTGTCAGATCAAAAGGTCACTGCCTCCTCCTCCATTACCCATATACTAAAGATTTCATTTAAAGAAAGAAGAGAAAATACAAAAAAGATATTGCTATTTAACAGAAAAATATTTCATCATATTACAAAAGAATTGGGATAGAAAATTGGGGAAAAAACTATCTATTTATCTATCTATATATATATCCAGTACCTTCAGTTATAAACATCCTACACTAAGACACTCATCTGCTTCAACTGCTTAGCTTCTCATGCTATCCTGGCTTTGATGTTCTCGCATTCTTAATTCAGCTCTCCTGGTTTGGAGAGGTAGTTAATTGTTAATTGGACACTAGCCTGATCTCTAGAGAGGTTAATTTGTCTTTAATGCTCATCCACTGATAAATCAGTCTGAGTGACTTAATGACAGTTGCCACCATCTGTGGCTTCTAAACTTCTTAAAACCAATTAATGAAAAAAATCCTTAGACGCTTGTCTGAAAGCATTGGCTTAGAACATTTTCTCCCTCCCTCCTCTTTCTTGGTCTTTTTCTTCTCAGTGTTCTCTCTTTTCCTTTAGGTATACAGACCTTAATGCTTTACTCATCCACAGTTCAAATATCCGGCAACCTGACATACCTGAAATTTAGCAAAGAAATGGGAAGTAAGGAAACGCCACCTGCAACTATACCATGTTGCTGAATTCATGGACAAACCCGTAAAACAGAGGCTTTAGATTCTCACCTAGAATCTATATATTTTTATTTTATATTGTTCTCATCAGTTAGGTTATATTTTTCCAATGCCATATTTTCTTTTTTAAAATTCTTTTTCTGACTTTGAGTGTTACATTTTTATTGCAGAAATAGAGATAAGTAGAATGGTATAAGAGAATAGTAATTATAAATAATCCTACCATTGTAAACATTTTTGTGTATTTCTGATCAAAGCATTTTTGCAATATGGTTGATATTCCTGCAGTTTTATATTCTGCTTTCTTCACTTAACATTAGTACATCAGTGCTTCCTCATTATCAAACCTCTTTATGTGAAAATAATTTTAATGGCTGCATAATATTCTGTTCTTGAAAGTACTAGTCACTAAACATTCTTCTATGTTGGACATTATGGTTTTTGTTTTTGCTTTTGCTATAATGAATAATGCTGCAATGAATATGGTGGGCATTTGTTCTTCATTTCATATTATTCTAGAGAATAGACTTTAGAAAACATGAGTTTAAAATTAGAATTAGGGGGCGCCTGGGTGGCTCAGTCGTTAAGCGTCAGCCTTCAGCTCAGGTCATGATCCCAGAGTCCTGGGATCGAGCCCTGCATCAGGCTCCCTGCTCAGCGGGAAGCCGGCTTCTCTCTCTCCCACTCCCCCTGCTTGTGTTCCTTCTCTCGCTGTGTCTCTCTCTGTCAAATAAATAAATAAAATCTTTAAAAAAATACAATTAGAATTAGAAGGTGGGGGAAAGGGATGATAATTGGAGCAGACACTGAGGGCAGTGAGGAATACAAGTAGAGTAAATCCACAGAAATCCATAAAAACAGTTGCCATACTCCCAGCATTGTACTATACTCTGCAAAGTCAGCGTTCATACACTATATTATAGAATTAACATCATTGATCTTCATAGTAATGACCTTAATTCACAGAGAATGTTAATTATATTTTGTATATAAAAATAGGAATTGTGTAAACCAGTTCAGAAAGTGGTTTATTTTTAAGTTTTGACAGGAATAAAGATGTTTTGTGGTATAACTGAAAGAGTACCTGGAACCAAAAGACCCAGACTATATTCTAACTCTACTGCCAACCAGATGTATGATCTTGAGTGAGTCACCAAACCTCCCTAAGGCCCATTTTCCCATAAATCAAAGGCATAGGGGCTCCTGGGTGGTGCAGTTGGTTAAATGTCTGACTCGGTTTTGGCTCAGGTCATGATCTCAGGGTCGTGAGATCAAGCCCTGCATCACACTCTGCATGCTCCGTGAGGAGTCTGCTCAAGTTTCTCTCGCCCTCTTCCTCTGCCCCTCCCCATGCTCACACTCTTTCTCTCTCTCTCAAGTGAATAAATAAATCTTAAATAAATAAATAAATCTTTAAATAAAAGGCTTGGACAGGATCTCATAGAAGTCTTCCATTTCTAAAACTGTAACTGGTCTCTTGACACTGGAAAAGTCAGGTTGCCATAGTTTCTGGAAGGTTGTATTTAGCTTCATCTTGAACCTTCTGCTTGCTCTACTGTCTTTCTCTTCTCTTCTCACACAACCTGTGTAATCTGTACAAAATATGTGACTAAAAAAACCATCTCTCAGCTTTCCTGGCATCTGCACATGAAAATGCCTAGACATACTTTTGTTAGTGGGATGGAGAATGAGACTATAAGAGTCAAGCAAAACTAGATTTTGGAAGGAGAGGTTCTGAGCCATCATTCATGGATCCTCATTAAGACAGCTTAGGTATTTTTATTCGCATTTATTA